TATTGTATTACAGTTAAATAACCCCGGTTGGTAGGCGTGATGTTTTGCAGTACACTATAGTATAGTATACTACAGACACGCCCGGCTGATAGCCGTATTGCCGGCTGGTAGCCGTGATGTATTGTAGTATACTACAGTATAGTATACTACCGGCAGGCTCGGCTAACACTCGTATTGCATTGTAGTATTGTATTACAGTTAAATAACCCCGGCTGGTAGCCGTGATCTATGCCGTAATGTATTGTAAATGTTGTATTAAAGAGTAGATACGGCTCCGCTGGTACTGTACCCTTGGCCGTGTACAATGGTGTACGTATTTACGCAATCATAAATCGCGCTGGCTAAGAATAACCTCTATATATACAGTAAATTAACATATTTTCCGTGTAAGACGTGGTGGCACAGGGGAACAACACTTAGCGTGTATGCCGAGGGTCGTAAGTTCGAATCTCAGAGTGAGCGCGAATAATCCTCAATTTTTCTCTTTGCCGTAATTTTTTTTTCTCGTTTATTTACCTGTCGCATAGCTAGCTGTATTCATTGGGAAGATGAATTTAGATGATTTTCAGAAAATTTAATGTAATTTTGGTGGTTTTCTGCTTATGAAACATTCTAGAACCAGTCTCCGAAATGCGCACATTTTTTGAACGAATAGTATACTATAGTACAGCCCGGCTGGCAGCCGAGCAATCAGAGACAAAATTTCCGGCTGTCAGCTGGCATCAAACGCGCTAATCGGGTGGCCTCTGTGGGTCAATGAAACACAAGGAAATTCAAATGTTCAAATACCTAACAATGAAGTCCTACTCTACTGGCAGACAACATGCACTTGAAGAGGCATTTAGTTACTTGGAAGAGTACAACAGGCCTGTGTTTACCAAAATCAAGGCTGAACCAGAAAATGTGGATGACAAACATGCAATTCCTGTGTATATTATGTCATCTTCAGATTATGAAAAAGTTGGATACATCCCAAAATGAACTTACTAAATACATTCATCCCATCCTCAAGGGTCCAAATGTTAATATATCTGTAAGTAGAATTAGATTTTATGCTACATTTTAAAAGATTGGATTCTATCTTGCAATTGACATAACAAAAAAAGGATTGTGGGACAATGCTGTAGTAAAAGCCAGTAAAAATGTGAGGTAAATTATTACAATTTGATGTACTGTACAGTCATTTAATATGATTCCGATACTGTTTGACTAAATTGTATTCTTTTTCATTTTTTATTGTGGGTGGCAAATGCTATTGGGACCCTGTGGAATTTAGCACAAGCTGTAAGCTGACCCTTCTGTGGCAATGATGCCATGTTGGTAACAAAAACTCCTGGGTCTCTCCCTGTCTTGATAACCTTACGTTATCCTCTTCCGTCAACAGATGGTTTGTTAAAGGATGGTAATGCAAATTCTGAATAGTGTTCTTTCGCTCCTGTCCCGTAATAATGTTGGAGATCTGGATCTATTCCTTTAGTAAACTCATTCAGGATTTTTGGCTGAGCTTCCAAAAACTGTTTGACATCAAAGATGTTATCAAGCATGTCATGCATTAGCCTAATCATGCCCTCAACATCATCCATTGCAGAAGCTCTAGGGTGCTCAGGTGGTAATCCTCTGCTTTCACATTCCACTTTCATATAAGCGCTGAAGTTCTCTGGTCTCTACATTAGCAAGAAGGCCAACAATAGTTTCCCTTGTTAGACCACAGATGCCTTTATTCCCCTATTAAAAAATATAATTATTAACGTAAGATCCAACTTCACTCCCAGTTAGGGCTGCACAGAGAAATTTGAGGGCCTGGGGCAAATTTAACATTTAGGGCCCTAGTGATTCATATTGACAACAATATTTGAAGTTATGTGCTCTTTTACAGCATATACTTTAAGCTGTTTCTTGGATTGGCCTTTTATTAATTGCTTTCCCTTACTAACTCATTAAGTGTCAGCACTCTCCCCTTGACAAGTAAAATTATCTGGTGTTAGAGTAAAATAATACAGTAGGGTGCAACTCAATGGGTTAACTGGATCCATGGGCAGATAGGCCAGTAAATACCATTAAATGCCAGCGCTCTCCCCTTGACGAGTAAAATCATCTGCAGTTAGACAAAATAAAATAAAGTAGGGCACATCTGGGCACAATACAACTTAATGGGTTGATATAGTTGTTGGGTGTAAGTTGTTTCTCACACAATACTGAATATTTGGTTGGCATCCAGACTGCCCATGTAATTGCTGTTGTCCAACTTTTCAGCCAGCTGGAATTGGTTATAGGAAATGTAAATAGTGTGAAGGGAAATATGTATTTTTGGTTCACTGATGTGAACAAAACTCGAATTTTTCTGACCTTCAACAGGACAAGGACCTCTATGAAAGTTGTTGTCCACATGCATATATATATAGACTCCTAACACAGACATCAAAACAAGAAGTTCTTTTTGGTCTAATGTTCTTTTATTAAAACTGTAAACAGTTTTATATTGTAGCCAACAAGCTCAAAACTACATTTGTTGTCATTACTGTATTTACAAAACAAATTGTTTTTATGCTATTAAAAACTGTCTTATAATTTTAATAGTCTTATACTATTCTGTTTATATGAAGTATGTTATATTGTACAAATATACGATATGTGTGTTTCATAGACTCACTTATGGAAGGACAAGCGAATACCATCTTTTAAATCCCCATGTCTGGCCTTGCAGTTATACTCCACACACAATTCAGGCCGAGATTCAAGGCATTCTTTTCAATAAAAAAACAGATTTTTTAGAATAGAATGCCCTAGAATTTTCAGATGAAAATACTGTATTTTGGTCGAAATAGCAATGAAGGAACAAAATAAACAGTAGTACCTTTTAGAATAGTTATATATACATCACATTACTTGAAAAAAACTGGTAAAAGAACCTATATACATCCAAAACTTTCACACCAGTTAGTTCTTCCCCAAAAAAGGTGGTTGAACGGGATCGGAAAGAGTAGGACGACGTAAAATGCGAAAAACATGGTTTTCCCTATGTCGCTCTATGATTTTTGACCGGTTGAGCCGCCATCTTGGATTTTCAAATTTGGCGCGCCTTTTCAGCCGAGTCAGCAATCTAGTTCTCCTATATCTATGTCTATCGCCATGCAAACTTACAAAGAACTTACTAGAAATACATGCATGCAGTAACCCCTTGCCAATATTTTCCAAACATTAAATTCACATGAAGTATTCAGAAATGGCCCACTGAACGCAGGCTTGTGCTCAAGTGTTGCCATGACAACACGATATTCTTAAATTTTAAATTTTTCATATTTTTTGTACAAAACTGCAAAATAGTTCAAAGATTCATACTTTTAACTATACAACAATAAATTTCCATATTATATACTGTAGGTATATTATTTTGCATTTTGTAAGCTTTGATTTAATGTAAAATTTAACTTGAAATGCTTCGTATAGTTCATTTGCCAATAAACTAATAAATATAAAACATAATAAGTTACAAATAAAACAAATTGTTACGTAATTTCAGTTCAGTCTTCAAATCAATTTGTTCTCCTTTACATTTTAAGATTTTTCCTCAAATTAAACGGTAATTTATGAAACTTAGAGCTTCATTGAAAAGAAAAACAGTTCATGTTTTTAGGCAAAAAGTTTAATCCCCAAGCCGACGGCGCAAATTCCGCACGGCTAATTATACCCGGTTATGTGAAAACATAGCGGAGTGCAAAGTTGTCCTCCATTTTGTTTATGTCATGGACGGTTTTTGACGTTATGCGCATGCTCGAGTACAAACTCTGTCGAAGTAATTGTTTTTCATTTTGAAAGGTCGTAGTTTGCTATTTTACAGCAATTTTTTGTTTTAAATTTCGTTAGAAAGTTTCACGCTTGGCATAAATTGTCGCATATTCGGCCAACTCGTTCGTAACAATTTTTTCCGTGAGCGCGTGCATAATTTTGGGGGACTAGGAGCGAAATTAATTTTCGAAAACTGCGCTTTTTTAGAGCGCATTGAGGATTTGTAGGTCATCTATGAACAAATGATGATTACAGGGATTAATAGTGGATAATAAAAGGATCACAACGATACCACTATTGCTATGGTTACGCATACCTTTTCGCGGGTTTTGTTGTCTTTCGTGAAGGCTTGCGCAACACAATGGCGCTCGGTGGAAATTTTGCAAAAATTCACATTTTTTATTTTCAAATAACTTTTGTTTTATAATCCATCAGCTCTACAATTTACTCAATTCTGAAAGCCAGTTTACTCTTCTAAAATCGTATGTTTTTTTTATATTGATTTACGATAACAGTCTCGGCAAAAATGCCTTTAACCAAAGCTAGCAAATACAGTCGCTTCAATGTCGCGGCTTACATGAAGGAACGTCGTTTGGCTACGGAAACGTTGGCAAAACAAAATAAAGAGCTGATTGCCAAGAAACAGAAGTTGGCCCGGCTGGACCAAAAGGTAGGTTTGATAGTTTAGTTGTTATATTATTATTGAAACCTTTAACGGGTTTTCACTTTTAAGTCTGTAGCGATAGGTTTGATCCATATAGTCGTGTTTACACTATACAAGCCTTGGCCAGACCAAGGTAAATGCGAGGCGTTTACATGTACAATGGCCTTTTTGAGATAGGCTCACGTGGCCTAGAATTTCAGTAAATTTAATTAATTTTTTATGTGTTGTCTGGTTGTTGGCCGCTAAGCTCTCACACATTTCCATGGAAATGAGGCAAATATTAAAGCATATTTCATTAAAGGCCCATATTTGCCAAAAGTGTTTTATATTGCCACAAAGCCAGTCCTAGCCACCGGTGGTAGTGAGCCCAGATTTCCCAGCCTAGGTCAGGCAAAAGCTAGCCCAAGGTGTGTTTAGAATGCTGTTTTTGGGTTTTTAATCCAAGTGTGTATATTACAATTTAAGACCTGTTAACCAGGAATGACTGCGAGAAATATGCAGCTGGTAGGAATTAAGTCGAATAGGTGATTGGGTGTCCGGGTTGTGATAAGGTAGACTGCAATGATGTTTTTTGCACTTCACTTGGTGGAATTAATATTATAATGCTGTTTTCGGGTTTGTAATCCAAGTGAATATAGATCTAACTAGGAACGGCTGCGAGGCTACTAGGCTAGCCCAAGGCTTGTAGTATAAACACGACTTATTTTATACATATATCCTTTACTCCCTTATGAATGATCTTACTGTTAGAATGAATTTAAACTCATTGTAGATAGCCAAGGTAGTTGATGAAATAGAGGATAGAGCAGATATTGCTAGGCAGATCGAGAATGAAGGTACATGTAGCATTTCGAAAGCCGGGTCAACTAATAGAAGGACAGTTGCAGTGAGAGAACAAAGAGAAGGCGTAGTGCAGAAACCCTAGAGGTAGCAAGGAATATTCATGGAGGAGGGGAAAGAAGTTTGAAGGCTAGTACATCTGGTTTGCTCGATACACTTAATAGATGCTCAGAAGATGATCTTGTTGGTGGTATTGGTAAATGCAAGAAGTTGAAGGAGAAGGTGTTTCCAAAATTATATAAGAAGGCAGTTGATGAGTTTGAACATACCAGTGAAAATATGTTGCGGTCTATAGCCGTCTATTATAGTAAGGGGGTAATGGGTAAGATAAAGTATATGTCGGTATATAGGGCATCCACCTATAGTTATTCGGCTCATAAGAAGAAGGCTGTGCGTATGACAGTTGCTAATTGCCCCATCCCTCGTCTTGTTCCATACCATAGGTTAACTGCGTATGTCAAAACATTGAGGTAGGTAAGCTGCATAGTGTTCGTGATACTCTTTGTGATGGCTTGGAGGATAAAGACAAGGTAAGTGGCTGTTATCGCGAACTTGAGGAACTACTTCTCAAGTTGGCTGAGTTCTATCTCTCCAATGACCTGTATGAGTTACTAACATTCACTGAAACTAACAAATTTCATGTTGCTTTAGGTGGAGATGGGGCACCTTTTGGCAAAGACGATTCAGCATGTGCCTGGCTTGTAAGTATTTTAAACATTGGTCAGGGTGTGCTAAGTTCAAACGAAAATTTTCTTCTTTTTGGGGCTAATTGCAGTGAGAATTGTGTCCCTGTAACACGGTTCTTGCAAAAGTTGCTAACTGACATAACGAGGATTGAGAACACAACTTACACTATTTCATGCAACAATGAGATAGTAAGTGTTAAATTTGTAATATCAGAATTACCTAATGACATGAAAATGCTAGCTTTTCTAGGGGGAGAACTGTCTAACAGTGCTAAGTTTTTTTCATCTTTTGGTAATGTCACCTTGGAGTCTGCTCGAAAAATCACAGGTACATTTGGCCCACTACCATCTGACACTTGGAAGCCCTGGAAGTATCCTGACAGACTCAAGGTGGCAAGACAGGTTGAAAGGCTCAAATCATCTTTAGCCAAATCCAAGTTATCAGTAAGTACTAAGCGGAGCAAGGTAACATCATTTATTGCTGAACAAAAGAGTAGACAAGAGTTTGTCCCCATCATTGGCGAACTGATTGACCGGGCGCATGTTGACCCCCTGCACTTAAAGAATAATGCTTGTGCTCTAGCCCATCGTTATATTCTACATATTGCCCTTGCAATGGCTAAGTTACCCTCTTCAGTTAACTGTTTTTCTCAGGTTTCATCTCTATCTCCATTTTTTAAGTATGTTGAAGCATTGCGATCGAAATGTTCTCTTTCAAGGTTGGCTAACAAAGTTATAAGGTGGTTTAATGAAACCAATGGCACTGGTAAAGAATTTGATTACAGGTTCACAGGCAAAGACTCACGGATGTTCTTGCACAATTTTATGTTTCTTATAGATATTCTTGAGAAAGACTCCACTGGTATGCAGTCTAAACATCTTCATATTTATGCTTTTCTTTGTCTTTGTCTTAGAGACTCAGTTTCTTTGTTTAGTCGTATTAACATCACAGAAAGACAGGTAAGTATGTTAAAACAGCATTGTTCTGACTTTGTTCGTGGTTATACACTGTTTTTTTCGGTGAATCCTATCATCTGGACTCTTGGCTATGTTGTTCCGGTGCATACCGTGGAGATGAAAGGTAAGTATGGTTTAGGTTTGGGGATAAATTCGATGGAAGGGAGAGAGGCCAAGCATATAGCCATTTCAAGGTATTGTAAAAACACTGCGTACTTGTATCGATGGGAGCAAGTATTTCGACATGAGTATATTTCACTTATTTGGCTTCGAGAAAAAGGTTATAACATCAATAACACTTCTCTTAATTCTAGAAAGCTCTCTTATCTCCCAAAGCGTGTTATTAATGATAGTGACGAGTATTGCAAATGTGGTCTGGGTAAAATGGCGAGCACAGACAATCAGTGCCGTTTCTGTAGCCATGATTTAAGGGCAAAAATCAAGGTTAGTATTGAGAAAGGCAAGATTCTTGTCTAAAGGCTGTTTTCCACTCCAGCATTTTACTTGCTGCTGCCTAGTGCTGATGAAATCAAGCGACATTGTGAGCTTAATTAATAAAAAACACTCAAAACAAATGTCTATGCTTGTCTTTTAAATACAAAAGCTGTTCTTTAATTTTGAAACTGATGTAGAAAAACAACTAGTTGCACTTGCAACAGTTCAAAGAGTAGGACTAAAATTTGAGTGAATTTGTTTGCAAGCAATTGTTTGCAATTCGGGGTGGAAATCAGCCTTGCATTGTGCCGTTATTGATCGATATTGATTATTAAGGCTTTTGTCCAGGAGTATGTGAATGTGAGCCGCGTTACAGTATATGGTAGCGGCTAAATAATGTAATTCCTCGGCATCTTTAAAAGCAGCGTTTGCTGATCGATTATGCCATTATTAGGCATTGATCCTCATAAAACGTCATGAAATCACACAAATAATTCAGACTCGTATTCTCGTTATGTACCAGGCCGTGAAAATGTAGCCTGCGTGCAGCCTGACTTTAAATGGGGAGAAGTCTACCCTGGATTCCAGAGCCTTCGACAGTATATAATAAATTGAAATGTCGCGAAGGCTCTGGTTCAACGGGGCGATTCTTTGATTAAACCGCGCCAATCACAAAACAGAATTAGTGGTTTTAGTACAGATTCTGTCGGATTTCGGTTCATATCTGACCAACCGATATCAACAAACGACCGTTCTTGGAGCAACGTCGAGGACGCTTCCAGTAACATCAGGAGTGCCGCAGGGGTCCATCCTCGGTCCATTATTGTTCCTTCTATATGAGAATCATCTCTCCAATTCCGTGACCAATTCAAGGATTGCTATATTCGCGGACGATACCAAGATCTTCAAGACCATCAATTCGATCTCTGATGCGTCTGCTCTACAGAATGATCTGTCAAACTTCCAAGAAAGCTCAAGCACTATTAACCTCGAATTAAATAACACCAAATGCAAAGTCTTAAGAGTCACCCGAAAGCACAATAAAATTACTTATCCATACAAACTTAACGATACCATCCTAGAATGCACGGACTGTGAACGAGATCTTGGAGTTTTAACATCTTGTACTCTGACTTGGTCTAAACAAGTTGACCACCTGTGCAACAAAGCAACCAAAATGCTAGGATATGTCCGAAGATCAACCTTAAACATCAAAGATATCACGGTTCGCCGCAGACTATATTTATGTCTTGTTCGTTCCCAGCTATGCTATGGATCTCAAATTTGGGCACCACAATCAGTAACCTTAATTAAACGCGTGGAAAGACTTCAAAGACGCGCAACAAAGTACATCCTGAATCTGCCCTTCCTTTGTGACACACGTAACTGGCTTGAAATACCTATATCAGGAACTTTATCTAACGTCTACCTTACCAGTAACAAGTTTGGTCAAAATATCTACCCGCCGTCAATTAAGTTTGTTCAGTGCCAAACAGTTGCTCGTAACGCCTTAAAGACCTCTCCAAATCATTCCGTAAAAGACCTCTGGAAAAACATCTGAAAGCAAAAATATTCAATACGACGTTTACTCCTCGACAAAGGAAGTCCTTAAAACCCTTACCTCCGGACAAGAAGACAAACTGCCGAATGATCTGATTTTGCAAGGCTCCTTCTTCCCAAATGTCATTAAGTTTTCACTGTCGAAATTAAACGGCATGCATATGGTCAAAATCCCAATCAAACCTCCCAAAGAACATCTATAACTTCACCAATCGTTACATCAATAACTCACTTCGAAACGAACTCTGATTGCTACTTCTGCTTATTAAACCCTGAAACCCTTTTACACGTAGTTGCTGGATGTCAAACGTACCTCCCACGATTTACATGGAGACATGATTCTGTTCTGAACTTCATAGCACAAACGCTACAACCTGTAAACAACTCCAATCTTTTCGTCGATCTTCCTGGTTATAAAAGCCCATCAATTGTAACTGGTGACACATTCCGCCCAGACCTACTTCTATCTATCAACTCGGATTGTCTATATATCCTTGAACTTTCTGTTGGTTATGAGTCTAATCTACAAACAAATGTTGATCGGAAAAGATGAAGATACGAACATCTCCTTACACAGCAAAAGAAACAATTTAAGTCCGTAAAATTTGTAAACTTGTCAATTAGTTCTTTAGGCGTTTTCTCAAAAGAATGTCAATCCTTTTTAGATATGTTAAATTATCTAGGTCTTGATAAAAGACACCAATATTTCGCTATCAGGAAAATTATGTCAATCGCGATTAGGACAACATATTATATATTTTGTTGCAGAGATAAGGACTGGTTAAATCCGCAATCACTGAACATTTAAGGATACTCATTATTAATATATAAATATTAAGTAGGTTCAAGTAGTCAATTATAAATTACCTAAATTAGTGAGATTTATAATTGTATACATACGTATATAATTTCAATAAAGTTTCCATTATTATTATTATTATTATTATTATTATTATTATTATTATAATAAAATTTCCAAACTAGCAGTAACAACTGAATTACTTTGGAATTACAAGGTATAAGAACAAACTAAGATATTCAATCTATTCTATATTTACAAGTAAAAATACATAATTTACTAAAGTTTACTTATTATTATAAGCACGAGAAGCAGCAGGAATGAAACTGTTCGAAAAACGTTTGAAGATTTTTAGGCGGCACTAAGGCATTCAGTTTATGAGTGGGTTCCAACATCTTCGAAAAAGGCGCTTGCAAAGAACTGTCCCACCTTCATAAAGAGTCATTAAGTTAGCTTTAAGCAAACATTCAACATAGGTAGCTCCAGGGAAAATAATTTTTAATGCCCTTTTTGGGATTTTTTCGACTTGATCACTCAGGTACTGAGGAAGGCCATAATGCATGCCACACCTGACAAGCATATTCCACAATTGGTCGAATATGTGTACAATAGGTTGAGATCAGGATATGTGAAATCACATATTAAACAACCGGCACGGTAGCGATTTCCTTTCTCTTTCCCTCCTAGACTATTATTAATGAGCTTATTTTTCTTTGAGCAACTTTCGAATATTGAAATATAATGATTGGACGTTCATTTGAATACTTTCAGTCATATGCATATCGCAGTCGAAACTCCGAATTTGTCAGCACGTAGCCGTGGAAACTGAGTGTGAGAGAAAATAGCCTCTGGGTACAAGGTTGACATACCCCGTGTAGATATTTTGGCTCTGGGTATGTGATAGGCGGGTAGGCGGAACATGAGCTAATTAAGCGGCTGGCCGGACATAAGTAAAGCGGAGGGTGGCGTATTTGAGGGATTTACTGTTTTATTTAGTGGCAATAGTACGAGATTGTTTTAGTGGCTGAAAGTTTTAATCAATTATTAAATACATAGCTTTTACACGATGTGACTGTTTAAAATTACAGCTGGAATAGTCATGAAATTTTTACAGTAATTAAACACAAAAGCAACAGACACTCCGTAAGTTGTTAACATTTACCACTGCACGAAAAATTGGATTTACCACTATAGGAAACACAGAGTAAACTTGAGATAATGCCGCATTTGCTCATATTTACGAGCAAATGCGCCATTATCTACAAGTTTACTCTGTGTTTCCTATAGGGGTAAATCCAATTTTTCGTGCAGTGTACATTCTCTATGTTTCGTGTATTACTTTACATTCATCTTCAGGATAATGGCACGTTTTATTGTGAGTTTTATAGATATAAATAGTGGGCTTTTAAAAAACGTTTACATTCTGAAGACGACCGTATGTTTGTTTTCCCAAAACATAAAATATTCGCCATATCCAAAATCCGATCAATTTTTTCTGTGAAATCCGACGATCCGAAAACCTATTCACCCCCCCCCCCCAGTTTGTAGAATTGGCTTGCGGGGGCCGGGCGGTTGTGGGTTTTTTTTTCATTTTAAAGCCATATTTACCCGTTTTGGTAATTTTTCGTCACCTATATTTGGTAATTGCCCCTAAAAAACCTGGCAAGGCTGCCACTTGTGAGGAGATCTCCCTACTGTAAGGGATTATTTCATTTTATAGGGAATGGGAGATACCTAAGGGAAAGTTGTAATTAATAGTGGAGCGTAAGGGATTCATTATAGTTTCATTTCACTTTTGGAAATTATTATTGCTATCTTTGGCATCTTTTACTTACATTTATCATGTTTCATATGGAAAAAGCACCTTGTTTCACTCCAAAGTGAATTTAACACTCAATCCCTTGATTTGCAACGAATTTTTCGTATTTCAAACTCTCTGATCATTATAAATCTTGAGGCATATCATTGAATGCAAAAGGATGCTCAATCCAGTTCCAGTTTTAAGATCAGTGCTTTTTCTGAAAAAATTGCACGAAAAGGCAAAGGAGTCCCCACTATGAGTTATGATTGAAATAATATTGTATTTATTTTTAAAAACCTACTTGAATCCCTTGATAATCGATTATTTCTTCTCTCGAAATTCTGTAAACATTTTAAACTGCTTGGAGTCATTATACTATCACTCTATATGACGTTTCATGAAGTATAGATGATCGCTGACAAGTAAGGACCGCGGGCGCGAAAAGACTAAGGCGGCGAAAGAAGGAAGAATTAAACTAAAGCGTTGAAACTTCGGCGGGTCATCGTTTGATGTGTTCCATAAGTAGGTTGTTCTCCGGAAATTTCGCACGGGACCCCAATGTGAGTTAGGATTGAAAAAATATTGTATTTATTTTTAAAAACTTACTTGAATCCCTTGATCATCCATTATTTCTTCTCTCGAAATTCTGTAAACCTTTTAAATTGCTCGGACTCATTATACTTGACGTCACGAGAACAACCTACTTATGGAACACATCGAATCTACTACATCAGTTGTGAAGATATATCCAAAAAGACATAGAATCTGAAAAAAAATATTCGAAAACACAAATAAATTGTGAATTTTAAGGCATTTAGAAATGTCATCTTGTCGAAGTTTCAACCCTTTAGTTTAATTCTCCCTTCTTTCGCCGCCATCGTC